CCCTGAGGGCCGGGCTGTATCTGCCGCCAGCAGCGCCCGCTCCTCCCTGCCCGCGCCCCCGCCCCGCTCCGCCCCCGGCCACATCCCGGCGTACAAAAGCGGGCGGTCGGGGCGGGGCGGGGAACAGATGGCGGCGGCCATGAGCTCGGGGCTGGCGGCGGAGTGGGGTGCGCGGCTGCTGTACTGGGCGGCGGCGGCGGGGGGCGTCCTGCTCGTGGCGCTAGGGGCAGCGCCCGCCCTGCGCCTGCTGGCCGCGGCCCTGGGCAGGTGGCGGCAGCTGCGGGCGGTGCCGGGGCTCAGCCCCTGCTACCCGCTGCTGGGCAACGCGCTGCTGCTGGAGCGCACGGCGCACGGTAGGAGCCGCGGGCACAGCGGGCCGATATCCTGCTGCTATGAAATGTCAGCGTACAGGCAGTGCTTGACTTGCGACTTTTCGAGTTACAACAAACGTCACCTGCAACGTTTATGATTTGCCCCCCCTGGCTCAGGTTCCAACGCAGGTTTCCACTTCGCGACAGTCGATACAGCTGCGTCCAGCTTGTGAGTCTGGAGCGGGTGTGGGGGGGACAGATCAGGGCCCCTGGGGTGAGGGAGGGACTGGGGCTGGGACAAGCGCTACCCAGCCCGGGGCCGGACGGGTGCTGGACTGAGCAGTGGCTCGCTGGGGAAGTGCAGGGAGGGAGGGCGGGGGTTCCTGCCCCTGCGGGCTGCTCGTCTGGTGGCTTGTCCAGCTGTTCCTGCCACTGCTCCTGCCGCTTGTCCTGGAGGACACGGGGGGGACATAAGCCTCCAGTTCTGCGCAGAGCGCGCAGGCCCGGGTCTACACTAGGCTGTGCTCCAGGAGGGTGGCAGGGGCTATGGCAATTTTTTGGGTGGGTGCAGTCCCCACATAGCCTCCGCTCTTCCCCCCCCCATCCAGGGTGACACGCCCCCCCTGCAGCTCACCCAGCCGGGGCACGGGGGTGCGGGACGAAGCCGCGGCTCGTCCGGGGAGGATGCGGTGACTCCCACCCTTGCGCACCGCTTGTCCGGAGGCAGCACAGCGGCTCCGTTCCATGCCTGCCCCAGGGGGTGAGCAGCGCGAGGGCATAGTCCACTCCCAGCACCGCTGCCACCCTCCTGGAGAGCAGCCTGGTGCAGCCCTGCCTGCCCCACTCCATGCAGGTCGGGGGGGTATACAGCCCCTCATGCCCTCTCAGACAAGTGGCAGGAGCCGCCAGACAAGCAGCGTGCAGCAGCAGGAGCCACTGCCCCCCCTCTCCGTGCCCCCAGTGAGCCGCAGCTCAGTCCCGCGCCCGCCTGGTCCCAGCTGAGCAGCGCTTGCCTCACCCTCGCCCTCACCACGGGGGCGCTGATCTGCCCTCCCCCCCCCTTCCATCACGATAGACTTACCAGCTGGATGCAGCTGTATCGAGCATCATAAAGGAACCAATCTGCCATTTATAACGCTGTTCCTATGGGGAAATTGGTTCTGACTTAACGACGTTTCAACTTAAGACGTGGTTTTCAGGCACCAGTTGCATCAGAAGTCTGAGGACTTCCTGTGCACTCAGAGGGCTGTGCCCCTGCTGTAGAGGAAGCCCCCCACAGTCCGTACCAGTCTGCGGGTAAAATTTCTTCCTGACCCGAGATCTGACAATCAGGCTGACCCTGAGCGGAGGAGTAAGACCCTCCAGCTAGGAACTTCCCAGCAGGAGCACTGGCACCAGTCAAAACCTCCAGCCTGGGTTGTAACCAACACCCAATGCCACTGGGAAGCCTTAAAAATGCCCTGAAGAGCCTCTCTGACAAGGGGAACTTGCTACATCCTTAATAACTCCCACCCACTTTGAGTGGGACCCTTTTCCATCCCAAGAGAAGGCTGTGTCTGGGTAATGGCAGGAGCCTTGCTGGGAATGGTAAAGAATGATTATTTTAGGACCAATCTGACAAGCTTGTTGAAAAAACTATAATTAAGAGAAGAACTAAAAAAGGTGGATAAGTACTAAATCAGTACATTTTGAAGCAATATATGCTGCCTTCTCAGATGAAGTCCAAACACAGCATTATTGCATAGATTATGTGATGATAAAATATATATATCAAATGAGGACGGGGTGGTTATCCAAGGTGGATGTGAAGATTTTCCTTGTGCCCTTTATAACAGGCTGCATAGCTCTACACAGTTTTTGAGGTTCCCTCTAGTTTTTCTGTCACCAACTTGAAAATGTTGTATAGAAACAATACTTATAACGATCATGGTATGGGATAGTGCAGAGGTTCCCTAACTTTTTCTTATTGCATACCCCCTTCCAGATTTACCACCAACCCACGTACTCCTACTAGCATTGTTTTATATTTTAACTCCTTAAGTGCCAATTATTATTATAATGAAAATTAAATCTGCCATTGCATAAACTCTCCCATATGCCCTGTGAAGACTTCTTGTGTACCCCCAGAAGTATGCGTACCACAGTTTGGGACCCCCCTGGAATAGTGCATGCAGGTCTCAGATGGAAAACGTTCCCAGAATTTCTTTGGAAAACGAATGTCTTTAAACCAGAATTATATTTTCAGCCAAGTGACCATAAGTTTCCTCTTGTTTAATCAGTGCTAAAGAGGGTTATCAGGTTCCTGGGTCTTTAAATAAGTTTTTGACTTTTCTTCAGAAGTTCCTGTAGTACTATCATTTTCAGTAGGGTAAGTATGCACAGATCTCTGTGCAACTGCAACTATAAACTGCTTTTAGTGTCCAAGATAGCTTGTTTAGAGAGAACTTGGGTATTTCTCCACTGAATGGCAGTGTAGATGATCTGCAGGGATCCTGGTTTTCTCTGTTTAAAAATGGCAAATTCTATTTAATCCACATTTTTCCACGATTAAAATGAAATGCCGCTATATATATGTAGGTATCTGTTGAACACAATGTTTTATTGATATACTTAGAATTTACAGCAATTTGGAAGTCTACCAGTGCCTCAATCACTATAATAAAATAAATTCTAAGTGCCTGTAAATTTTGGCATTTGATTGTTGGTTTTTTATCATGGAAAATCAGAGCTCTCCCTGCCCCCTTTGCACACCAGAACGTAGGTCCAGCTGCAGCTGTCCCCCCACTGCTTTGTGGTGCTGAGCAGCCCTGAAATGCCAGTGCCCTGTCTATGCCAGTGCCTCTCACTCCTCTGCCCCAGCCCCCCTGCCCCCCCCAGCCCTGCTACCAGCTACCAGGGCTACAGGGCCAGGGACCCAGGTCCACAGCCCCCTGAGCCCGCACAGCAGTGCCTGGGCCCCAGGTGCCACCCATAGGAGGCAGCAGCTGCTGCGGCAGAGGGGAGCATGGAGCCCAGCTCCCCTTCCCCCATGGATGGTGCAGCTGGAGCAGAGACTGTAGTGGGGCAGATGTGGGCTGCCCACTGGGAGCTTGGGCTCCCTGCCCTGCTGCCCTCTCCCTGGCAGGGAGCCTTGTACAGCCACTAGGAGCCCTGCACTGCCAAGTCAAAGGGCCCACTGCCTGCCTGGCAGCAGCAAGCAGCACAACTCTGTGCTGCCACCACTGCTGCTGGGCAGGTAGGGGACACCTCACCATGGCAATGCAGGGCTCATGGTGGTATTGGGCTTCCCCGTCCAGTCCTGCTGTGCCCTGCTGCGCCAGGTCCCGCCTGCTGGGCTGCAGAGGCCCCGAGGCAATGGCAGCAGGGCAGGGAGCCCTGAGTCCACAGAGGGCAGCCCGTGCCTGCACACATACAAATCTGGGGGGCACATTCCCCTCATGCTCCCCCAGGATTGTGCTTAGCAGCCAGGAGCCAGCCCCATCCCCCATATGAGCCACCCATGGCCCTGTGGCTGCACATGGCCCAGCCTCAGCCCTGCCCAACTCACTCCCTCCCCCTCCCCCCCCCCCCCGGGGGGGG